CCCAGGAAATTTCCACTGGTATTTTCAAATCAGTTTCCAAAGGCAGATTCCAAGATTTTAATTTAAACCAAACAAAAAGCCTTAACAAAGTTGTCCCTTCTGATCAATTGTAAATGTTGGCAAATATGGTAATTTGTGTCTATTGGCAATTATCTCTTTCTTCCCTATCCTACCCTGTGTGTGTGTGTTGCTAGGCTATATAATATATGATGGGCATAAATCAGTAGGACTTATAAAAGCAAACTGGAAAATATGAGGATTTCACAAACCAAACCCATGCATAAAAGTTCTGCTCTACTGAGGTAGTAGCAACTGATGTGCTAAATTAAGCACGACTTTGCTTTTGATTATTCCAGGATAATCCATTATAGTTGGAGCAAACTTGTCGTCAAGCTCTGTTCCTATATGCATATTCATACATGTCTGTGTTAGGGTGATACAGTTCAAAACATCAAACTTATTGGACTTCTGGTCATCTTGTTAGTTGTCTGTAAGTTAGCCAACACCAGGAGGATAATACATGTCTGAGAATTATGACAAGCCTGATGCCACAGTTATTGCAAATGTCCTTATAAAAATACAGATTCATTTGACTAGGGAGTGTCGAAAGCCAGTGGTGCATGCCCTGAATTAGAACCTGTCAAAATCAGTGTTGAAGCTTTCCAAACAAGGGCTTTTACACCATTTTGTAGTTTTATAGATATTCACATTTATTAAGGCATTTTTGAGTTGTTTAGTAGGAGGGACTCTATCTATGCAGTGTACACCAACATTAGTACTTTGATGCTGATATGCAGCTTTCTTCTTCCCTCACTTTGCCTCTTTCTCTGGGATCAATTGTCCTCCCTGGCATTTAATAGTTTTAGATTGTCTCGCTGGAATGTCAGCATTGAACTTCTCCAAGCATTTTTTGTAAAGCTAACCAAAAAAAAAAAAAGTTTTATACAAAGGACACAATTTTGCACCTCTTCCCATTTTGCAGCTCACTCACATAAGTTGTCCTTTTGAACTTGGTGGATTCAGTGGGACTACTCGCATGAGTCATTGCTGCTCAACATGAGTGAGGTCAACAGAAATGGTCCCTAAAATATCTTGGTTAATGATACAATCCTGATGCTTATCTCTTTGGTTCAGTGTTATTGTTCAGGGGGGAGCTGTACCTTTGACCTCTCTGTCTCTCCATGGGTACCCTTTCCCAAGTGACAGGCCTACACCTGAACTTCTCTGCATCAAATCCCGTGATTCACCCCACTTCAGACTGGATCACCAGGCTGCGGCATCCCTGTTGACAAACCATGCTACCTTCAGCAGGTCCATCTTGGTTTGGCCCCTGATACAGACTTCTTTCCAAAAGCATGTGACAGGTATGAAATTGCAGTGACTCAGGACAGCTTCTTCAAAACAAGTATTAGGTATTTGTCCACAAGAACATATCAGGTAGGGAAGACAACAATGAAAAGCCTACATTCATGTTATCTTACTTAAACTTTAGCCTTTCCTTGCAACTATATGTTATTCCTGCTTGTTTCAGGCACACCCACCCACCACTGGGGCTGGGTGAGACAGGCTGTACCTCCTACTGCTCCTGCCTTTCTGATGGTCTGACCCACCAGTCAATGTGTCTCCCTCAGGTCACAGTCTGCCTTTTTATCCTTTTCAACAGTTCAATGATTCTTTTTTTCAAGAGTCCCTGCCCCAGATTTCCTGGGGTTTTGAGCAGCCTGAACCTGGTCACACATTTCTTCAGAGGGGGTCCGAGATCGCCTTCCAGCAATGTATTGTCCATTGAATTAGAGTCTTTGCCAGGTTCTTGGATACCTGGCAAGAGACCCAGCTGGAATGAACCTTTAGGGTTCCATAAAGCCAGCCACCCCACAGTAACTACCAAATCCACAGATTATAAGCTTCACAAAATTAATACAGATATCTCCCTCATTCTTCATATTCAGTATGTCAGAAAATTAAAGGCTATAGGCATACATTTGCAAAAGTGACTAGTGAGTGCCTCTGTTCTGGGATGCCCAACTTGAGACATTTTAAAGGGGCCTGATTTTCAGAGGCTCTGCTCTTTCTGAAAATCAAGCCCCTTTAAGGTATCAGAAATTGGGGCACTTGAAATCACTAGTCTCCTTTGAAAATTTTGGCTTTATCATATAGCATAATTAATTCTATTCAGAAAGATTTAAATAAAATTTCTATGAAACATTCTGAAAACAAACACCTGGTTCTGTTTCAAAGCCTATACAGTTGAAATTTTACTTGTTTTAAACCTCATTTGTACATTCAGTGCCAGTAATACAAGGCTGAGTGCTCTCTGCCAGTAGCAGTATTGTGATGAGCCATCTTCTTGACAGAGATTGTACACTCATATTGAAGAAAATATTCTTTACAGTCTGTCTGGTTTGGGGTTTTTCCTTTCTTTTCCTGAAGATTTGGTTGTTGAAGCCTTTTTGAAAGTCTCCAGAGCTTGAACGGCTTTAAAAGCTTCCTTCCATTATACCTGTATTTGCTTTAACAAAAAACTGGGGAGTGTCTTCTTTGAAGAGATCAATTAAAAATTCTGTATCACTTTGAGCATCGCAGTCATTTGTTTGTGCTTTAATTATAACACAAGAGTTACTGTCTGCAATTAATTACAAATGGATTAAAATAAACAGTAAACAGTTTAACAAAGGAGCTGAGGGTCTGTGTGTCAAGGCAGCAGTGCTTGAAGAACTCCCCAGGGTGCTGCTGCCTCATTACTCTGGGGAACCAAGGCAGCAGTGCCAGAGGACCCCTTCATTCAGTATGGAGGCATCTGACTGCCCCAGACACCCCTCTCTCATATCGTCTTTCTTCCCAGGCAATGTGCACATCCATGCTAACCCCCATCCTGCTAATCTCAAGTCTCAATCCCTTGTGTCCCCCACCCTGGGTATATTCTGTTTGCCTCTCCATATCCTCCCTTTCCTCCCATGCCCCCCCCCACACACACACACAGAGTCCCCTTTTTCTTCTGAAGTCCATCTTCATACCTCCTGTTGCCAGCCTGCCTCCCCACATCACTGGGAGTATGTGCAAAGCACAGCTGGTGAAGCAAGTTGGCAGCACTGGAAAACAGAAATAGCTGATGGATCTGAGCAGTTCCTTTGGTTAATCTTGGCATAACTCAATTAGATGATACCAAGTAAGGAGACTAGCACTTTATATTTAATTTCAGATGTTAAAAGTGGCCTACACGTCTGTTGTAGTTGTAGACTGTTTACATCTGATGTTTGGAATTGACAAGGACTGTGGGTTGGTGGACGGGGGAGTTAATAACAGAGGAACTCAAAGAAACATGAGGAAAATAAGGTAAAAATTCCCAAAGGCAGCATTTTTAAATGGTTTCTTCTGGAAAAGTTAGTAAATACTTTACAAAAAAATAAATGACATAGAAAAGTCAATTGCCCTCTAAAGTATTGTGCCAAATTTGAAAACAAAATTCAATCGTTAAAGCATGAAATGGAGATTTTAGTCTTGCAATAAGTGCAGATTTCAATGCAGCCTTAACTATGGAATTGCTACTCCCACCTCCATAAAATATCTCTCTTAAACAGCTGCTAATCTGCTCACTGTATCTGTTAACATTCATTTCTTTGATAATCAGTTCACATTTATTCTACATACGGTACAACATCTCTTTTATGGCAACTACATTAAATGAACATTTGGAGACACATAAAGTGTTATGGAATTTATTATTTAACTATTCCAAACATGTCTTCTACAGTCTTTTTATATCTATCAGTAAAGCAGTTTGAAAAATAAAAAGTACAAATAAGGAAGCTGATCACTAACACTTTAATTTCCTTTTGAAGTGGCAATCTCTAGTGCAACTTCCAGTATTCATGCTTTCTACTCTACTTGGCTGCTTTAAGCAATTAATTTTTCTGTATTTTCACTATCCACTTTCCTTTTGTAAGTCACTGATGTAAATTTGGTTACCACTTTTGTTGTGCCCTGTATAATTTTAGAGATTTTTATGTATTGAGTTGAGAGAATACCTTGCAGATCTGATAGGCAGAATACATTTCAAGACACAAAAATGTTTCTCCTCTTTAAAACCCCATTGTTTATCACGTTATGTATTTTGTCATGTATGTCAATGAAAAGTATGGGAATCAGAAGAGGTCATATTAAAGTTTACTTACGTGAAGGTAATTCTCGTCTTAATTTTTGCAAGACCAATTCATCAGCATTATTATTATGTATTCTTTGTTTGTATTACAGCAGTGTCCAGAAGCCTGGACTGAATGAATAAACTAAACATGTTTTTCTTTATAAGACTTCAATGAAAACATAGATGTACACTGAATCATTGCCAATATCTGAAGGACTTGATGGTTATCAGCATAGATGCTGGATTGAGCAGTCCTCTGACCTTGGTCATTGTTTACTGATAACCTTGACCTGCATCTATAATGAGTAGCCCTCTAGTCTGTCAAATAAAACAGTGGAAAAATGCTGCTCATTAAAATTGCCTGTGTGGATCAGAGGCACTTTTTTACCTAAGCTCTGTTGGAGGCAAGTCCCCAGTCTGCGCCACATGACTTCAAGCTAGGTTAGTTTACCAGGCCATAATGCCAGGTGGGTTACAAGAATGATTATACAGAGAGATGTAAACAATTTCCTCTAAACATGATTAACATTTTAAAGGTGGTTTTTAAATTTTTGCTAGATGCGTACTTTGTGAGTACATTAGACAAATCAAATTATTCCTGCTGATTAATCTAAATAACTGCAAGTTACATTCTTTGTTGTTTATTTACAAGTACGTAGATAGATAATGCTTGCTTTGTTATATTAATGTTCTCTGTGTAAATGTTCAATTGAGGGAAATATACAAATTCAACAGAATATTTTTAGATACATGCTCAAAAGGTTGATAAAAGGTTTGGCTACAAATGAAATCTATTGGTTTTTACATTTAAATTTACTAACAGTGTGCCACTTTGTGTGTGTTTCTTTTTCTCTTCCAGTGCCACCTTGGGCCTTAATAGCCATAGCCATAGTTGCAGTCCTATTAATCCTTACCTGCTGCTTTTGTCTCTGTAAGAAATGCTTGTTCAAAAAGAAGAACAAGAAGAAGGGAAAGGAAAAGGGAGGGAAGAATGCTATTAACATGAAAGATGTTAAAGATTTAGGGAAGACCATGAAAGACCAGGTAAAGTAGCCATCCTGTTCTTGGACACTGTTTATGTTTAAAGTGTTAAGTCTTCTAGCAATTATCTATTTATGGTATTGCTCAACGGTTGGATAGTGGTGCTGAGTAGTGGAGACCAGCTGTCTGCGCTTTGTATTGGAATTCCAGTTAGTAACCCCCTGGTGCCCACTGGAGGATGCCAACTCTACAGGCAAACGCTACTGGTGGCAGCACTAGTCAATGCTTTCAAAGCAGCCAGTTAACTTCTCTCCAAATGAGAGGAGGAATACTGCAATTGGTCCATATAGAAGAGAGGTTTTTTGAGAAAATGGTGATCTCAAAAATATAGCTGTGGGAGAGTCTTACAGCCATATCTATATAGGACTTTGACTAGGACCAGGTGCAATAGTGAGGTAGAGAGAACCCATGTTTGGATGACTGGTACTAATCAAGTTCTTGTGAGACTAAATGACATGCAAGAGTGGACCTGGGCTACTAAATCTCTTGCTGCACAAAAACAGAAGCTTACCTAGAGAGAGACCAAAAGCAAAGTGCAGCAGAAGAATGGTGGAAGAGACACAAAGGAACAGGGGAAAGGGACAAGAAAAGGAAAGAATAAAAGAAAATTGGACAGGAAGATGAAGGCAGAGTTATATATGTGGGAGGGAGAAGGAGATTAAAGGTGACAGAACACAGTTTTAGCTGAGAACCAATGAATGGCTTGGGGACAGATCATCATGCTGCTATTTGCGCAACGTTAATTGGAGAACAGCAAAGAAACCCTTGCTTCTGACCTGTTGTGTGTGAGAGAGGTGCTATACTTGGGCACTAACTGGAAGGTTAAAATACAAACGAAACCATCTTCACTAGTTATCTTGTTAATGCTAGGGTTGATGAGTGGGGATAAAACCACACTGTTGTGTAGATCATCTGGAAGTATTTCAGCAGCTAAGGACACACAGGAGTACATTTTTCAAATAATGTATATTCAGGAGAATTAAGGAACTGCAGCACAAAACCTTTTCAGCTGGAGTAGATGCTTCAGCTTCACTTCTGCAAATAATTAAGACTTTGCATGGGGAAGATTAGAATCTGAAGGCACTCTTTGTGCATTTGGGATCTAATCCTGCACCACTGAAGTCAGTGGAAGTTCCACAGTTGACTTCAGCGGCAGCAGGATCAGGCCCTTAGCAGCATGCAGTATCCAGCCAGAGAGCTCTTTAATATTTCCTTACTCCTTACATTTGCAGGCCCATTGACTAAATTTAGAGGCACAGTTTGCACATAACTGAAAATGGACTCTTCATTTACACATATTTGAAAGCAATTAGCTTTATCAAGATATTACAAGCAACAAAGAGTCCTGTGGTACCTTATAGACTAACAGACGTATTGGAGCATAAGCTTTCATGGGTGAATACCCACTTCGTCAGGACTCTTTGGCCTGGTCTACACTACGACTTTAATTCGGATTTAGCTGCGTTAATCCGAATTAACCCTTCACCCGTCCACACTACAGAGCCAGTTAATTCGAATTAAAGGGCACTTAAAATCGATTTCTGTACTCCACCTCGACGAGCGGAGTAGAGCCTAAATTGATTTTGTTAATTCGAATTAGGGTTAGTGTGGCCGCACACCACCGAATTACTGTGTTTAAATTAATGGGGTAGTGTGGCCGCACACCACCGAATTAATGTGGTTAAAAACTGAATTAAGGTGCTTAGTGTGGCCGCGCACAATCGAATTTATACAACCTGTTTCCCAAATTCGAATTATCTAAATTCGGATTAATCCTGTAGTGTAGACATACCCTTTGTTGCTTTTTACAGATCCAGACTAACACGGCTACCCCTCTGATACAAGATATTACAGGCATTCCCTATACTGAATAAGTAATATTGTGGGGAAAGCTCATTACTTTAAGACTATATGGATCAACATTTTAATGGTGACCACTGTATATAGCTTTCTGTCATCAGAAGTGCCACAAAATATGTTAAATTCCACAGTTAAAGGGCTCAATGAGGTGAAGCTCAGAATATTACTGAGCAGAAAACTTGGATCCTCCCTTGCAAAAGTCTAATGAGGATTTTGTTTTACTTAATATGATAAATGTTAAAAAGAAATTTCTTATACTGTATTGATTCAGGCACTTTGAGGAGGCATGCTTGGACTCCCTGTGTTTGAGCTATACAATTTGTTCTAGTTTATTAATATTAAAGTAATTGTGAGATATTTCCCTCTGAGACATTGTCTGAAAAAGCAGTCCATTAAATGCTTAGTTAGTCCTGGCCAACTTTAGCAAACTTTTGACCGTAGAAGCGAAAATAATTTGAAAATACTATTTGAACATTTTTGGGATAAAATTCAGTGTGTTTGTTGTGTGCTATCAAATGATACTAACGATAACAAACCTAACATTTCTTTGTAGGACAAGTAACGTATGTTGTTAGTAGATATCTGTATGAGATGTGTTCTGTATCATATAAGACTGTTCTTGTACTTATAGTATATTATTAAGTATATTATTAAGTACTTATAGTATATTATTATTATACTTGTTATGACCTGGATAAATGACCAATGACTCTAGCATTGAAATATAAAATTACACTTAATAGTTAATGAAGAGTTTGACACATAGTCCCTTTTTGGAGGAAAACAAAGGTCAAATTCCAGTTACTAATTCATTGTCATGGAGATAATCAAAACTTTGCAAAAAGCATACAAAAAGCTACAGTTTCAAGTCATATATCTTAATTTCGTCACATGATCTTTATATTTATTTTAAAATAAATGTGTCCATATATTTAGAATTTAACCAGTGGTCTGTTGATAAATTTATGCACCACGGAACATATAGGATTGGATCCTCGGATGGCGGAAATTGTCATATACATTGAGGCCAGTGGAGCTATCACAATTTCCACCAATTGAGGATCTGCCTTGCTTGCCAACATTTTCAGAAATGGGTTGCTAAAGTTAGGCTCTTAGGTCCATATTTTGGCATCTAAATCAGTGGCCTTATTTTCATAAGTCCTAAGTACCTATTAACTCCTATCAGCTTTAATTCCTAATTTGGAAAACCTTGACCATAATTTGCAGCATTTGTTTTTCAGTATAAGCACAATCAGTTAATGATTTATTCTTGAATCAACACCACAGGTTTTAGCATTTCCACATGAAGACAGTGTATTGCTAAATTGAATGTAAGCTATTTCAGAATGTAATCATTTTAGTGCCGCTGTTACAAATAAAATGGCAAGAGAGTGCCTCCGAGATATCAAGGAGATACATTTTAAAGCAAACAGACAAATCTATATGAAAAAGGTCTACTCTAATCCACCTGGAAAGAATTATTGCATTGGCCATGTATGGTGCCAGAAATCTGAAATGTTGCCAAAGCACAAAGGCTTAATCCTGTAGTCATTAGGCCCTACCCTGCAAAGTTCTGATCACCTCTTGGATTCAACACAGTGCCTTCACTTCCCTTTGATTTCAGTGGAAGTTGAGTGCTCAATACCTCTTGGTAGGCAATGGGCAGCTTGCAAGTTCCAGTCCATAATGCATGCAGAAGTCCCATTAACTTCACTGGGAATTATTCCACTTGATAGAGCTAAAGGATTGGGCCCTCAAAGTAACTTCTTTTTTTCTTCTTCCAATAAATATTCATTAAAATCAATAACATTCCACTGATCCTGCTAGTAGCAGCCCCTGTGCCCACCTAGAGCCCCTCTGAAGCCAATGAGGCTCTGCATGGTCACAGGGGTCCATACTAGTAGATCTAGGGTGACCAGAACAAACGGGACAGGGGGTGGGGAGGTAATAGGCGCCTATATAAGAAAAAGTCCCAATAAACGGGACTGTCCCTTTAAAAATGGGACATCTGGTCACCCTAAGTAGATCTGATTGCAGAGTCAGAACTTTAGCCTTATCACTGGTAACTGTTAGACACGGAATTGTGTAATATCCAGTATTCAGATAGATTTGTCATATTTCAGCATGTTCTTTTTCTTTAACATAATTTTAATATGATATTTTGAATAAATGTTGTTGCTGTGAAGAGGGAGAATAGTTAAAGTACAGATTAGGATCCTGATCTTCAAACCCTTACTCATGAGAGTAATTCTTATTCATGCAAGTAGAGCTATCTGCTCCAGCAGGACCAATCGCATGAGTAAAGGTTGCAGGATCAGGCCTTTCTTGTGTAAAGGAGGTGAATAAAGAATATATTATCTGTGAAAAAGGTCATTTCTCCATGGTTTTTACTAATGTTTGTGCGTGGATATTTTAATTTTTATTTCTTCCTTCTATGTCATCCTTATCTATGTTGTGTCTCATGACTGTTCTGGATTGTCACTTGCGGTAGGTTTATTTTGCTATTTGGACACGCCTAATCTAAAGCTCTGATATATTTAGTCTCCTGACAGCTGTGGCTCCTCAGCTAAGATTTATACATAGCTTTGACACATCAAAAGGCTGAACTAAATTGATTTTTTTTTTTTGGTGGGATAAAAGGTTGTCATTTTCTCCATACTTAAAATATATTAAGTCAAAATGTACTAGAAAGCTCAAGTTTAAAATTGGTATGTGCAAAAAAGAAATGTACTGCTTTTATTTCTTTTTAATATGCATTTTCACTGTATCAAATCTAGACCAAAACAGAAAAATATTCAAAAACACCAAAACAATTGTCTCTTTCTACTGGTGCTAAAATAATCAGTAACTCATGCTATTACTTTATTCTCGTTATTTTGTAGTCTTAATACAGTGAGTACACTTCAAGGTGTCAGCCAAAGTCTACTCCACACGATTGATTTTAGTGGGGTAATTCCAGAATTACACTGGTGTACCTGGATGCAGACGGAGTCCAACATTTTTTAAAGACATCCCTATCACAATTTTCTGTGCTTCAGTTTATCAGTCTCTACCAATCTCCCATAATTTTCTCCTGCGTTTTTTTTTTTCATCTGTAGAAAAACATCCAGCTCTAGAGACACTGTAATAGCTGCTGATTTAAT